ATTTTCGTAAACCTCCAAGTAGGAGTCTGACTATACCATTCGGGGCTTGGGTCAGGAATGCGCTGCGTGGTAGATGCCAAGCAAACATTGCCTGGTTCCACCCGATGAAGTGTGGGCTTTTCGGCTGCCTTGGAGGGAGAGGGTTCAGGGCTTAGGGTTTAGGGTTTAAGGTTTAGGGTCTCGGATTTCGGTGGTCTGGACTTCCTACCCCTCAGCTCTCGATCACCAAAACCCTGAACTCCTTAAGCCGCACCAGCATGTATAGGGTTTAGTGTTGATCGCGCTCATGGTTTAGGGGCTTATACTGCTAGCAAGCGAAGGCCCTGGGCAGCTGCCCCTGGGCAATCATGCTGCACACTGTCCAACAGAAGAATGGTATTTTGGTAAAATGGAACATCAAACCCCCAAACCGAAATTTCCTTCACTCCCATCGGGTGGAGTATAGTAACCCTAAACCCTAAACCCTAACCTAAACCCTAAACCCTAAACCCTAAACTAGTTAGAACTGTAAAGGTTTAGCAGATTCAGGTTTTAGGTCGCATGGAGGTCGACCTTTGGGGCGACGTTGGTCCACTTCGCCAACGCCTCACTGCCTGAAAGAGCCCACATGCCCAGCTGCTGCCTGGCTGAAGTAAACCCTAAATCCTAAACCCTAAACCCTAAATCGTAACTTTTGGTTTCGCACTTGAGGGATTCGTGCTTTGGAGGTTTCATACTTTTGGCAGCGCTGTTGTGAGCGTTGTAGAATCGAGGGTTCTTAAACCCCACCCGTAAAGGCCCGAACCCAGACTACCCAACCTATCGCAACCCACCGCTGCCATTCCAGGCGGATTTGTGGACCAAACAGAGGAGGCCCCCGCTGAGACCGTGGGGCCGCGTTTCGTGATGGCTGAACATAGCCTAACATGCCGACCTGCAGCACCGTGCTTTATCCTAAGATGGGGACTCACCAAGGTATCCAGACTCCTCACAAGTGCAAGTTTAGGCTCTAGGGCCTAGGGCGTTAAGCTTGAAGATGCAGCAGCATAAGATCAAGACAGCTTCTGCCAACCCCGGTCCTTGTCACCATGATGCCCCTCTCTGAGGTCTGAAGCATGTGAGCAGCATAAGCCCATCGCTGTTGAACTCTTGGCAGCTGGGTATGAGCAGGGCACACAAGAATCCATGCGAAGACATGGAGCTTGTTTTTTGCCGTGTGCTGCGAAGCCTTCCATGAAGCATTGAGAAGCGCGTGCGCAGCGCAGCTTGCATGACGAGGCCCCATGAAACTTCAGGTTCTAAGTCTTCCAGACCCTCGTGAACCCTAAGCCCTGACGCCCTGATGACCTCGAGCCGAAACGGCCCTAAACCCTGAACCCTGAACCCTAAACCCTAAACCCTAAACCCAAGCACCAAAGCCACAATCGTAGCAGGACAGCTGCACCGGCGGAGAGCAGGGCCCTCTTGAGCCTCCTGGGCAGATGTGAGGTTACCCTAGGACCCAGGGTTTAGGGTTTAGGGTTTCGGGATATAGGGGCCTTAGTAATTAGAATAGGGTTTAGGGAGCATATTTTTGTACATTTCTATAGGGACCATAAGGGTAATTACTAATAGTATTCCCGAATGGTCCCTGTGCAATTGAACTAGAATTGCCGCCTAGACCCTATTCTAATTATTTAGATCGTTCCCTGATAGCCCCTTTAAACCAGAAAGGCTACCCTGTGTATTCCTCGGTTACTGCTGGGTCTGATTTAGTGTCATTTAGGATTCAGGGGTGCGAGTTTTTGAGTTATGGGTTTGTGGGTTTCGAGGTTAGGGTTTAGGGTTGAGTCAAAGGGTCGCAAGGGCTTGAACAGTTCCGGGCACAAAGGAGTTGCAGGGAACCTAAGACCTTAAACCCCAAAGTCTAAAACTAGGGTTTAGGGTTTAGGGTTTAGGGTACGAAGTAGGGAGGGGGGGGTGGGGGGTGGGTTTTTGGAAACTTCTGTTGTGCGGGCTTTGTGAGTTTAGGGGTTGACCAAGAACTTGGTTCCCAGAGGTGGGCCACACCGGGTCCCTTCTGCGAGGCTTGTTTGTAGGGGTTGGGGCTTTGTGTGGTGAAGGCTTGGGTAGCCCAGTAATACCAAGGTTCCCGAATAAAGTCGCCAAACCCAAAGAAGGGTACCCTTATGAAGATATGAGGAGAGTGTGAGGTTGAGGGCTTAGGTGCCACCACAGTCCATGGAAGGTTCTTCACCACGAAGTACCCGCTGACAACATGGTTTGGCTCCCTGGCCAGAGACTGCAAGCTGTCCTTCTTAGGCCCTGCAGTTCCAACACAAAAAATAGACCGGCAATTAGGCAAGCCTTGAGAGGGCTTCGTCTGTCGTGCAATTTAGGGAACTCTGTTCCACAACGGTTCTGGGTTTAGGGTTTAGGGTCGCTCCATGGCATCCCACCGCCTCGCGTTGGAATAGTTCTGCGAGGATATATAGCTCCTCCCTAAGCACCGAAGTCTTCACTAAACCTTCTTGAACCGGAAACTCACCCAAACCTCTGTATGCGCGCACGTATTTTTCAGGGTGACCCTACACTAAACCCACATCGTAACTCCTCAAAACTCCCGACCCAAGACTCAGACCTGTCCCGCTTCACGACTGTGTCGCATGCGCACACCGCGGTAAACATCCTATCGTCTTAGCATCCGGCAGGCATCCCAGTAGCGCAGTGTATACAGTTGAGCAACAGCATCGTGATGGGTGGCAGTTGGATCGCGCCAGCCCTACGAAGCTGTTACTGCTTCGTCATGGCAGGTGTCTGTGTTTCAGCAGTGCTTTTGAATTGACATACTAGTAATTACATGTTCCTTCCTGCTTTAAAAGTTTGTGATGCTTCCATGATGTGTTGATGATCCCAAGCATTCCAGGGAGTTTGTAGCAAGGGCTACAGGTGCCGACAGTCGTCTCCACGCTTCCTGTGGATGCGCCTGCACCTCATCGAGGTGAAAGCCAACAGAAGAATGAGATGCATTGTCTGGAGAAGAATCGCTTTCGAGTGTCCAGAGAGACATAGCTGGTGGTGCAGTCGCCTGTGCACTTCAGCAAATTGCACCTATGTGCGATTTTCTGTCGAGACCGCTACGGCGGCCACTGCTGACTCGGATGGGACATGTCACCGCCTGCAGCAATTCTTTTCAGGCAGTATTCCTTCAGGCTTGATAGGTCTAAACCCACTAACCCCTAACAGGTTTCTAAACCCTTCAAAGCCCACTAAACCGAAGATGCAACCTGAAAAGGACTGCAACTTGATTGTGAGGCAGCTGTCGGGGTTCAGGGCTTATTCTTTGGGCTTGTGGGCTTCCGGCTTGCCCAGAGGAAAGCCCTCCACACTCTTAATCTAAACCCCTAATTTTCCACGGCTGCAATCCACAAGCCGCCATCTTAGGTGACGTGTTTTGGACGGCCGGCGAACGATCTGGAGATCCGGGAAATCACCGGCCAATCACAAATGCAGACTGGCTGCACATGTGGGTGGGGGGTGGGGAGCGCCCTAAACAAGCCTAAACCCTCAACCCTAAACCCAAACATCCCCAAACCCTGTACCCAAAGTCCCGAAGTCCGATGTCGCTTAGGGGTTCAGAGGTGAATGGCTGTTGGTGGTTAGGTGGTTAGAACTTTGGGATGTCCCTTGCGTTTCAGAGTTGGGTTTCCCAAAGCCTCAGAGGTTCCTCAGATCCCCAGAATGCAGGTTTTAGCCGTACCTTTCAGAAGGCATAAACCCGAGGCGGAGGGCGACTGATTGTCTTAGCCCGCTTGGGGTCTCGGGCTTAGGGGGGCTTAGGGGGGGGTTCAGGGTTCCGGGTTTCAGGTTTCGCGTTTCGGCTTTCGGGTTTCGGTGGGTGGGGGGGGGGGGGGGGGGGGAGGGCCTTAAACTTTGAAGCCACGACAGCAAAGCTCCTCTCGAGCTAGGAGTCGTTCAATGATTGGAGCCTTGGCAGCAAGGCCCGGGTTTAGGGTTTAGGGTTTAGGGTTTAGGGTTTAGGGTTTAGGGTTTAGGGGGGGGGGGGGGGGGGGGGGTTCGTTACAATGTTCAGAGCGCAGGCTTTGGCCCGTGGATTTTTTGGGAGCTGGTCTGGGGGTTTGTGTTGAGGGTTGAGGGTTTGGAGGTGACCAATGTCCAAGCTTCGCGAGTCTACTAGCGGGTGACGGGTATGAATCCTTGATTCATTTAGGGCTAGACTTTGACCCGACGCTGTGACAGCTAAATGTTCCAAGGCGATTGCCGAGTCCCGATGTCCTCGAAACGGTTCAGATGCAGACTTTGTTGCGAGATTTCCACTGTGGGTTATAACGCCCAAGACCTCGAAGCTTCTGAAAACACAAGTCTGGGTGTTAGGGTTAAGTCACAAACCCTCCTGCACACGCCGAGGCAAGGCCATTTTGCCTGGGACTTTGTTCAGCTCAATCACAGCAGTGGGGAGATGTCTGCATGGCTTTAGGGCCCCGCGAAACTGTGAAACCCCAAAATCCCAACACCCTAGACCCCACATCTTAGGTATCAAGGCCCTCATGCTCAAACCCTAAACCCCAGGTGATTTTGGGCCCCGCAGGCATGGGATTGTGAAGACTAAAGCCCGGTTGTCAAGTGGCTTGTGGCCCCAGACCTTCAGGGATTCAGCGTAAGGTCTAGAATGACAGCAAGGATGCTCAGGGCCTTCTGCTTTGAGAACAGCTCCCCAAACGATTGCAATTGCGTCGTGGATGTCCTTCAGGAAATTGCCTAGGCACAGCGGTCGACCACCACACTCTTTCCCAGAAATCCCTGGACCTGGAACACCTTTGGCCACATGTTTGAGCAGCTGAGGCTATTGCATTTTGTAGGTTCTCAATATGCATCTCAGATGTTGTGTTCTTGTGTACTTAGTTTTTTCAGCGGCCGCACTTCGGGACGGGCGTGCGATAGCAAGGTCGGCGGCCTCCGAAACAAAGTATACCCAGACGCTCAAACCTGAAATGGAGCGTTCTGACTAGTTGTACATCGCAATGCGTAGCAAGCTTGATGTGGCGCCCAACATGATGGTGATGGAGCCCCCTGCTTGGAAATGTCGCCCGCAGATAGGAGCTTGGCAACCCTCAAGTCAAAGTGAGTCGAGGCATCACCCATAACTGGCCCATAACCATAACAATAAGAGACATCCACCCTGTGTGTGTGTGTGTGTTGATGAGCTGCTGCCCAGGTTGGTCTTTTCCGAAAGCCATCCCTGCGGGTGGCATCTGCTTTCAACCATTTCATGGCAGGCCGTGGAGACATCACTGAGCTTCTCGGCCGAAACCCAGTTACGTTTAAGATTTAGGGTTTAGGGTTTAGGGTTTATTTTAAAAGGCTGACGCCGCTGCCGCCGACCCCCGAGGTAAGCGCTGCGGATGAAGTATGATTGATAGCCTTGGCCATTCCTTCTGCCAGGGGTCTCTTCATGGGTTGGGGGGGGGGTAGGGGGGGGGGGTAGGTGCAGCCAACACAAAACGCGTGGTTCCGTTTGCTTGGTTGTTTCTTTCGCTAAACACAAAGCAGGGGGGGTGGGTGGGGGGGTTTGTGGGGGGGGCGGGAGGGGAGGGTGGGGGGGGGGGTGGGGGGGTGGGGGGGGGTAGGGGGGAGGTGGGGGGGGGGCAAAACAACAAATTCGGTTGTTTTTGGCCATCTGCTTGATGGGGGGGTTTGGGGGGGGTTCGGGGGGGGGGTACGGGGGGGGGTAGGGTGCAGCCAACACAAAACGCGTGGTTCCACCTGCTGAAAACAACAAATTGAGCAGCGTTTTTTTTCTAGGAGCAAGGCTACGTAGAGACGCGATCATTGAAAGTCGGCCGCGTAGCATTTTGCCTGCAGGGCGTAGGTTTGCGTAGGGTCCGCGTAGGCAAGTCTATGCAGTATGGGCGCGTAGGTCCGCGTAGGTTGTCTGTGCTTGCCGCGTAGGTCGCGCGCCTACTAAACATGAGCTGACGCGTAGGCCCGCGTAGGATACCTATGACATTACAACACCCCACACAATGAAAAAAAACTGCTCAATTCGGTTGTTTTTTGGGGGGGTAGGGTGCAGCAACCCTTCTAAACCAACAAATTCGGTTGTTTTTGGTCCTTCTCCTGTGGGGGGGCCGGCTAGGCAGGCGGGGTAGGGGACGGGGGTAGGGAAGAGGGTAGGGCGGGGTAGGGGGCGGGGGGAGGGAACGGGTCCATGGGGAAGGGCACTAGCGGGTCCAGCGGGAAAGGTGCGAGTCCAGCTTCTTGACGCCGACAAAGGGGGTTTGGCGGATTAAGTCCAAGGCTTAAGCAAGTTTAGGGCTCCGCGGCTCCACAACACACTGCAGTCGAGTCGCAGCTGCACCCGAGCTCCCGAAGTCTACTCTTGGATGACGTTGGCAACGGCAAGGCCTTTCCAGACAGGGTCTAGCGTCTGGCACAGAACGCGTGCAGTTTTCCGAGCCCGAGTCTTCAGATGAATCCTACATCTACAAGCACGAGCTTTCCTGAACAAGGCCGCTACGAAGATTTCCGTGCGCTTGTCATGCCCCTAAATCCCCGACCCAAAACCGATTTCAACCCGGGGGCTGAGGGCTCATGGTCCAGATACGCCAGGGGTTTCGAAACCCCTGGCTTTGGCTTCCAGGGTTACGGGAAGATGTTCAGGTTTAAGGCTTTAGGAACCCTGGGTCGACTCAACCGGCCTTGCTCCATTGCGCAAGAAGTCGCACCAGGTTTGCTGGCTTTTCCCGTGGCTTGGTGTGCCCTGGGCTACAATCTGAGGGTTTCGGGTTTAGGCTTTATTGTTTGGGGTTTTTTCGGGTACCTGGGAGCTGAGGACCCTTAATTGGAATTGCCAGCATCCGACGTGATCCAAAGGCGTGCTGTACGTTTTGCATAGATTTCGTGTGCAGGTGTAAGGCTTCTCAGGCCCACCCCCCTGCTGCCCACCCCCCTGCTGCCCCCACCACAATTGGAGGCAACCTGCAAGCTACCGGAGGGCACCTGCACCCAGTCCCCAAGGTCAGTTTGCAGTCTATCAGTTCCCAGCCCCGCCCGGAATTGAAATTTAAACCTAAACAAGGACCAAGCTGCTGGCCGGCGAGAAAGGGTACACACCTGTCCACTGCGAGTTTGCGCGACCCTGCCGACGCTTAAGCATGGGTTTTGGGGCTTAGAGCTTGTAGCATTACACCCTTAACAGCTACTAAGGGACTTGGGGTTTGGGGCTTGTCGCGGGTACAAAAACTAAAGTGCAAGCTGCCCCCCACTGTGTTTTGCAAACCCAAGGCCAGCCGACAGGAGAGTCTTGAACCAGAAACCTAATGCCAAAACGCGACTCTTGGGATGTTCCCCCTTATACTAACAGTCCGTAATAGGGATTATAGTATCCCCGATTAGAATCCCCATTCAGCCCTGTCAGTACGGGCACATCCGACTGCGAAACCCCGAACCAATCCCATCTCAGCCAAGGTACCACGACCGCTTCGTCAACTGGACTCGCGATTGTCACGGGCTCGTTGGATTCGGGCTTCTGGCTCGTAATATAGGGGGTCGAATAATTACTAATAGTATACCGTTATGGCCCCTTTATAATTTTGTTATAATAACCCCCGAAACCCTATTCTAATTTTTACGGCCTCTGTACTACTTGCTGAGGGCGGGGGCTTGCGGTTCAACTTTAAAACCCCAAACCAGGGCTTAGAGGGTTTGCACCGGACTCAAGATCTCAGCAAGTATCTCTGCCATACTCAGCAACAGACTTGGAACTTAACAGTTGGGGCTCCGCCTGTCTTTCTTCTTTATTTGCGATGCAGGGGCTTCTACTACGTTACTTAAGAACCCCCAAAGAATTGAAAGATGTGCTCAGGAAGGTTAGGGGGGGGTTCTGAAGCAAATCGTGGGCTGTTGGGCAAATCCTGAACCATGAACCCGAAACGGTCAGCTTGGAGGACGGGTTTCGGATCGGGATGTGCCACCTGAGACTTAGCAGATTTTAATAGGGACTATAACAGGGGGCACCATAATCCCTATTCAGGACTGTTAGTACAAGGTTGGGACTACAACAGGGGGCAGTATAATACAAGGGGGAACATCCCAACTTTCGGAAGTTCATGAACTTCATGCTGTGCCTTTGTTGCGCCTTACCCACTCGGGAGCAAGGAGCCCCCGACTCGTACACCTAATATAGGGCTCGGAACAATTACTAATAGTATATGGTATTCCCGTATAGTCCCTACATAATTATATAAAGCAAACCCCCCAAAAACCCGGTTCTCATGATTAAGGCCCCGATACTAAACCGCACGGGCCGAGGCAGCTCCTACTATTGCCAGGAGTGCGTGCGCAGCGCCGAGGAGGACCTGCCGAAGGCTTTGCAGAGGCTGGACTCCGAAACGAGCCCGTTTAACCCCTCTGCGGCTTAAGCTTGGGAGTGTATGGGCTTCGGGTTTAGTTTCAGGGTTTAATTAGGGTTTAGGGTTTAGGGTTTAGGGTTTAGGGTTTGGTCGGTTCTGGGGTTCAAGGGTTGTGGGATTAAGTGTTGAAGTCACGCTGAGGGAGTAGGACCTTGAAGCCCACATGATATTTGTCGAATTGCTGTAGAAAGCGTTCCCGCCCCTTCAAGTCCGAACCTCCAAGCATTGGAGGCTGCACGGCTTTGCCTTCATCGGGCTTATGGAGCATTTCGAGCTTTCCGTGTGCCTCTTCCATGCAACACGGCTGCCACATGTCTGAGAGAGACAAAAAAAGCGCCACAAGCCTGAAAGCTTTCAAATCTGGGACCTGAACCCAGAACCCCGAACCGCCCAAACCCAAACCCTTGACAGTCCCACTGGAAGGGATAGATTCGGGTTTCTCCCATGTCTTTTTCACTTAGGAAGTTCAGGGCTAAGGCTTGAACGGGTGACAAACGCAGCAGAAGCTGGCTAAGGCAATGTTTGGTGGGAAGTGCTTGCCCATCGAGCTTCTGTGGCCGCATTTAGTTCCACACCCAGGAAGTTCACAGAGACGAGGGCTTACTTGCTTCGCGACTAGCTCGCCCACTAAGCTAGGCCTTGTGAGAAGCACGAAAGGTGCAGTATCCCACTGAAGAGCACTCTAACTTGAACCTCAGTCTGGCAGGGAGGGCCTGGGATCATGAGGAGTTCTCTCAGTGGCTCGCGCGGTGTCTGTGTATACATGTTTTTTGTTTAGCTGGTATGATATGTACATCTATATCTAGATTATCTACTTAAGTGTATGTATACATATTTATATATGCATATCGTCTCTCTCTCTCTCTCTGTCATCCAAGGCTTTGCGAAACCACTGCTGTTAAACCCTCTCACGGCACACAATCCTTCGACCTCACATTGGGGCCTCAAGTCTCCCTTGGTCTCCTAAGAACGAGCGAAAAAAACAAGGGGTTTAGGGTTTAGGGTTTAGGTGTGCCTCGCAGGTTTGTGAACATGCGAAAAGGCGTTGAGCACCAGGCGGGCGCTTGGTCCAACACCTTGACAAGAGAAGTATCAGGGCTTCGTGGCCTTTGTGGTTTTTTCAAGTCAAGCGCGTGGCCTGCGTGTAACAATTAGTGGTTTGCAGTAGGGTGTAGTGATTTCAGTTGTTGGCTAGGTGAAGACCCCTTAGAGTTGTAGGCTTTCGGTTCAGGATCCCATGCAGCTGGCGAATGCACTCAGCGGCCATGAGGCTGGATCCCGCGATGCGAAGTTGCTGTTTGTTTGTTGGGCATAGGGTTGGAGCTTTGACGTTCACAGGGCTGAAGGTTGACAAGGGTTCAGGAAAAGGGTGCGGCTTGGGGAGTGTAAAGCTTCAAGCAATTGCAGGATCCGGGCCTAACCCGGAGGTCCCCAATGAAAATCACAAGGCCAAACTCAGCCCTAAAGCCTCTTCAACCTCATATCCTCCATCCTTCACGAATCTTCTCTCTCCTGTGCAACCTTGAAACCCCTCGAAACCCCTCAACCTTCTGAAGCTTTAAGGGTGTACGAATTCTTCTGCTTCTGGCGCTTGCCCGGCTTAGAAGCAGCCCAAGTCTAAATGACACCTGAGCCTGCCCGCTTACTTCCATACACCCACGAATGAAAGCTGAGCCTATAATTTTGGAACACGTAAGTAAACCAATGATGCCATGGCGAGATTTCGCTGCAGTTCGTATGCCAACAAATCCCGAGCAATAACATCCCTCACCCAAAACCCTAACTCCGACAGATACATGAGTTGCTGCATTGACGCAGGATCCGTACGACAACGCGGTTTACCAGGCGGCGTCCGAAATCTTCTGGCGCAATGCCTCTTGCCTGCTTTATGAAGAGGGCAAAGCAGAAATCACGCATGCGCCTTCCGCACATTCCGCACATTCCGCACCCACAACACATGAAGGAATCATGGTTTCCGACATTTTTGGCATATGATGGCCCAAGACCCTAAGACCCCAAGTTCCAAAGACCGCGTCACATCGAAAATTTTACGCACAGCCAAACCCTTAACTTCGCTTCGAGGGCTTCGAGGCTTTTGGGTTGGCGACTTGGGCGTCCAAAACACTACGTCATGAGTCCGACATCTGGAAATCCAAGTCGTTTTTGAAAATTGTTTCAAGATTTCTTCGGATCTCTTCATCTGCCTCGGCCCAAGCCTCAAAAAGCATGGAGCCTCCCCCCCGAAAAAATTCCCTAGAGTTGGTTTTGGGCTCAGGGTCCCTGAACCTGAAGCCCCCTGCCGGACTCTTAGCTGTCATAAACTGTCCAGCCTCAGGGGCTCTGTCTTCGAATCATACTGCAAAACTTAGCTTTGGGCTTCAGGCTTGCGGAGTTAGTATTGGTCAGTTCAAACTCCATAGCACGAACCTACTCACGAACCTCTATGTGCCTGACGCCGTTGTGTCTCACCTTGGCACTGCACCGAGGTCGAGCGCTTCAATGCGAACGATGCAACCTGCGCCAGGTAGGACGGTATATGCATAGTAGTGCCTAGGAATAAGCAGCGAACAAACATGTCTTAGACGCAGTCGTAGTTGCAGTAGTCATCGTCCTCCTCTTCGTGTAGACGTAGTAGAAATAATAGAAGTAGTAGTAGTAGTAGTAGTAGTAGTAGTAGTAGTAGCAGCAGTAGTAGTAGTAGTAGCAGCAGTAGCAGTAGTAGTAGCAGTAGTAGCAGCAGCAGCAGTAGCAGCAGTAGCAGTAGTAGCAGTAGTAGCAGTAGTAGCAGTAGTAGTAGTAGTAGTAGTAGTACTAGTAGTACTAGTAGTTTTAGTAGTACTAGTACTAGTACTAGTACTAGTACTTGTACTAGTACTACTACTACTACTACTACTACTACTACTACTACTACTACTACTACTACTACTACTACTACTACTACTACTACTACTACTACTACTACTACTACTACTACTACTACTACTACTACTACTACTACTACTACTACTGCTACTACTACTACTACGACTACTACTACGACTACTACTACTACTACTACTACTACTACTACTACTACTACTACTACTACTACTACTACTACTACTACTACTACTACTACTACTACTACTACTAGTAATAATAATGGTAGCAGTAGCAGTAGGAGCAGGAGTAGTAGTAGGAGTAGTAGTAGTAGTAGCAGCAGCAGCAGTAGCAGTCGCAGTAGGGCTGGTAGCGGTGTGGTAGTAATGGGAATCGTGATAAGTTTGTAGGCATGAAGCCCCGAGCTTTCAACTCAAGATCCCAAAGCCTCAGCGCCGAAATCCCAGCTGTAGCCCCCTAAATTGCCCTTAAGCTCGAATCCGAAGCCCTGCAGCCTCAACCCCAGACCTCCAACCTCCAAAGCCTCACCCTGAACCCGAAGCCTACATAGTTCCGCCCAAAAGCCCATGATCTTCAACCCAAAACCCAAACCCCAGGCACACCGAAAATCAGTCCAAGCGTAAGCGTTGGGCCCTTTTAGGGCCTCCTAAGGGCTCCTGCTTCAGGCTTTGTCCCGACTCCGACGTTTTCCGGCCAGCCTTGTGACCGGTTGTGTTTACCTACGAGCCAGGGGGTTAGGCTTCGAGGTTCAGGGCCCTAGTGCCTTTAAGGCCTGCAGGGCTAAGCTTAGGCAACTCTATTGCCGGAAACTCCGTGAAAGTCAGGCAGCGGCTCACGTCTGAAAATCGCGTCCGCCAGCCAAGCATCGAGCCCCATGTTATTGACATCGTCAAGTAGTGAATCGGCCAGTTTTGGGTTTTGGGGGGCTCTAAACCCCCCTGCACTCCCGGATCCTGAGCCAAATTTCGGAAAGGCCTCACTTTATTAGGACCCAAATGCTCTGGGTCCTCAAAAGACAACTCCACAGCGTGTTAACTAGACGTCTGGTATGACCTGAACCTTAAACTTAGAAGTGTACATTCGGTGTGTAGCGGCTTCGATGTTTTAGGATCTAGGACTTTCTCAAGTCCACGACGCTATTGACGCGAGTTGCTGTGCACCGGCCAGCCACACATGCTCAATTCCTTAAGAACCTTAGATCCTGTGCTTAGTATGCAGGGCATCAGGCTACGTTGGAACACAGGCCATCCTACACTGTTAGTTCTGGCTATGGAGTGCTTGTAGGGCTACAGAATTTCACATAGAGCGCACGTTGCGTTGTCGCAGCCATGGACGGGATCGTGCCTTGGTTTTTGTTCCGGATCAGCCCAATAAGACCCTGAGATAAGTCGATGATGAAGTCGGAGGCTTCGATTCAGGGTGTTGGGTTTGGAGTTCCGGATTTCCCTCGGGCGTTTCGAGGGAAGAGGTGTCTACCCTGCCCCAGCCAAAAGTTCGAGACAACAAGAGCAACCCACCTCAAGCCCAAGAGTCAGTTGGGCTCGGGAGAGGGCAAAAAGAAGCCCTAAACCCTAAACCCTAAACCCTAAACCCTAAACCCTAAAGGTTTCGGTCTGCTTGCAACCAAGACCCTCGAAGCCACGAAGCCGCGCCAGTAAGCCAAGGGCATACAGCTACCCCTCAACCGCCACCATACATCCTGTACTGGCATAAGGCTTTGTGAGCGAAGCCTTAAAGTAGCAGACCTGAGTCTCCCGACCCTGTGGTTTTGGCGACTAAGGGGCTTCGCCTTCTGGCTGAAATCCCCAGGTGGCCAAAGCCTCAATCCAAGTCTTCGAAGCTCAGGAGATGTCGAAGCCGAAGGCCAGGCGCTACGATGAGGCGGACAGCCTTCAACTGCAGCAATGGGAAGACTTCGACAACTGCAGCCCTTTGGCGGATGATTTGCCCTTGAATGAACCCCAACACGACTTGGACAGGGGTGTGACGGCCAGCGAGGGAGTAAGGGACTGAGGACTGAGGACTTCAGGTTCGGGGGGCTGGTGACCAAGTGGTGCCAGGTCCACACAAGGCTTTGGGGTTTGTCGTGGCTATCCCTGGAGTGCTTCCGTCCCTTGCAGAGACTTTCAAGAGCACCCACCCCCGGATATCCCAACACCGCAACCCATGGAGTATCCCTGGAGCGCCATTTTATCTCATGATGGGAAATGATCAAAGTAGTATGCTTCGTTGCAAAAGCTAAAATATGGTTTATACTTGTGCTCTGTCTTACAGACCTTGGCAAGTTGGTGCATCGTTTCGACCGTCGCATCGAACATTTTACGTCTGAGCAATGTCAGATTGAGCCAAACATTTCACCCCGCCACAGATTGCACTCGATAAGCTTGTGTCTGTGGACCCCTACAGGCTGCTCATCGCTAAAATCAGTACGCCTTCCACCTAAGCCTCGAAACTCTATTTGGACCTAGCCCAGGCCGTGAGGAGAAGTTGGAGATGTTACAGAAGTGGGTGAACCCTGGCGTTGCAATGACGGCGGTTCCGGGATGAGAGTCGTTGGCCAACTTGTCGGGCAACGCGGCCTGAAAGGCTGTCTTTAGCAGATAGCTGTGAAGCTTCTGGCCAGCAAAATGGCCGCATGCACGCATGATCCGGGCGCGTCGCTCCCGCTCCCCTCCTACCCCCGGTGGTGTGGCGGTGGGGTTGTGGGATTTGGGTTTTGGTGTTAGAAGTTGTTGTGTTTTTTCCTCGGGTGTTTCAAGAATGTGCTTAGCTTTCTCGGCTTCAGGGTTGTAGGCTTTCTGGTCTTTAGGGTTCAGGCTTTAGGATTTAGCAGGGTTTGGAACCTGGGAGGGGAACGCTCACTTTTCTTGGACTTCATACTACTCTTCTTTATTCTTTGTGACGGGCGCGCAAATAATTTAAATTAATTGGGCACGCAAAATGAAGTGAATGCAAAAAATCGAAGTTCTAAATCTGAGAAAATTAAATCATGCATTCGCGGGAAAAGAAAAGATGTAAGAACTTCACAAGATAGTTTTATGAGGAGTTAACTTAGCGACTACAACTATAAGAAGTGAGGGAAAGAAGAGGACTCACAAACTCACTTTTGTTACTGGCGTGTCGGGTCGGGGGGATTGGGAGATGTGTCCAGCAACGCACACGCAAACCTCACAGCCGGTCGCGCATGTCACCTGGAAAACACAGTCTACTCAGCTGCAAAAAGACAGTGTAAGAGACGGTTTAGGGTTTGGGGTTTAGGGTTTAGGGTTTAGGGGTTAGGGTTTTAGGGCCTCCAAGCGAAATCAGGAACATGGATGTCCCCGCCATTGCCGTGGCCACTGCCAAGGCGTCGGCCACGATGTGGTGATGTGGTTGCGCTTTGAGGTTCAGCGCTTCGGATGTTTGCCTATGCTGACGGATACTAACGTTACTAACCATCATCACCGTAGGGTTACACTCGCTCGCAGATTTGCACCTGTAGCCTCAGACAAACCCAATACTCGGCACACTTCGAGCCGTACGAGTTGGTGTTGCCCCACGGCTGCTGAACATAGGGCGAGCCTCGGAGCAAGCGCAGGACGGAAACCCTGTAAACCCTACAAACCATGGAAACCCTGTAGACCCCTAACCTTACTAGTTGCATTTCCTTCAGTATAACTCTAGCACTGGATTTTCGTGGAGGCCAGCAGCCAGCTCATACGCAAATAATTCGTGAGACTTACGGCCCTCTACCATGTGCTATGACCAACTGCAATGTGGGGGACCAGAAAAGGAAACAAAACAGGGCTCTCACCAACAGCTGTGCGCAATTCGGGTGTCGGAGTCGTCTCAGTAATATTCTTCAAGAAGATCTGAGTTTGTTTTCTGGTGGCTGGGCTTGGATCTTGGTTTCTGGTTCAGGTTTGTTGTGCTTTGCGAGCGTTGTTGGCTTGGCTATCTGGCAGCCGTGACCACGTAGCGCTTGACCCCATGTTCGTGCCCGCATGTGATGCAGACCTGGTTCCAAATCTGGCATTGCAAACTTTTTTGCGTCCAAGGCGTGTTCCCGGCACGCACCGCAACCTTTGGCCAGCAAGACATTGCACGACAGGCACAAAATATGACACCGGCACACGGTACGTGGCTAAACATTGGCCTTCCTCTTCTTCTTGGTGGTGCTGGTTTCTTCTTCTTCTTCTTCTTCTTCTTCTTCTTCTTCTTCTTCTTCTTCTTCTTCTTCTTCTTCTTCTTCTTCTTCTTCTTCTTCTTCTTCTTCTTCTTCTTCTTCTTCTTCTGCTTCTTCTTCTTATTATTATTCTTCTTCTTCTTCTTCTTCATCTTCTTCTCCTCGGTGTTGTCGTCGGTGGATCGAAAAGCTAAACCCTCCAACGTTCAGCGCTGAACACCGCCGCCATGCACCTTTAAAATTCGCGTGTCGCGTAATCCCGGTGTTTTGGGGGGTTAGCATATGGGCTCCCGAAAGCCCAGACCCTTACAAGGGTCTCTTGTTCATGAAAAAAGTTGGCCTACAAGGGGAAATAAGGGGAAATAGAGAACCGCCATGGTCTTCAGAAAGCACCTCCGCCCAGACCAACACAGCTCAATCCAAAACCCCACATTGTGCCTGGAAACCTCTTTGAGTCGGCGGCAGAGCCCCGAAGCCCCACGGCGCTGAGGCGTTCCCTGTTCCTTGAATTTAAGACCTACTTGAGGGTCGAGTAGTTTTAGGTTACAAGTACCTTAAGTAAGGATTCCATCTACCCATGCATCAAATGGCGGAACATAGCACTTCTCCGATGTTGAACCCCTTAAGCCCGAGCTCTCATGGGTTCAAACATAGCTTAATTACGTGTGAAACCTGTCCCCCAGCCTGCGATTACAGGTTTAGCCGCCCGCAGCCCCAATCAAAACCTTAGACCTTCAGGGCATCGTTGTGAACCGACCCGTGCTGGTCTCTTTCTGGGTCTTCGGCCTTCTGATCGCTGCCTTCGCGGGTGGACTTCCAGTGGCTACTGGGCGCAGAGGGGGGGGGCGACACGAGTGGGAGTTTGTTCGGCATTTGTCAGGATTTTCGGTTTGGCTGAGCTTCGGGTTCCGGCCAAGGCCCCGTGGCATTGTAGATGTGGTGCCAAGCCGGCCTCTCAACATTTTAATGTTCAGGATAGGTTTGTCTCTTCAACTTTGCGGTGGGCACAGCGCCCTATCCCACCGAAGCCGGAGACCCGCAAAAGCATCCAAGGATAGCGTCGCAGAAGAATCGAGACTGGGACAGCACGCGGGGAATGGGCAGCGAGGGCTTAGGTTTAGGGGCGCAATCCCTGGAAACCTAACCTAAGTGAGAGTTAAGCCTCATGGTTAGACACTAACACTTAAGCCCGCAAAACCGCAAAACCCTCAACCCCAAACTCCCGAACCTCCCTAAACCCTACAAAGACTCCAAACCAGTTGTTCGAACCCCAGACCCTGACATCCCTTGTAAAACCCTAAAATCTGAAATTCGAGTTCGAAACCCTCACCTCAACTCTAACTCCGAAAACCTGAAGTGCTGAAGCTTGATGAGGGTTTAGGCAGGCTTGCGACGGCTTCAGCTGGCCGGAGGGTTTGGGGGGGGGGGGGGGGGGGGGGGGGGGCTTGGACTCTTCCGTGCTATGTGACGTGCGGGCTGGTTTGCAGGATTTGCGGGCTTGCGGGGTTTGCGCTGTTTCAACCATCGGGGGGGGGGCTTTGAGGCGTTTGTGAGACCAACCCAGATTCACCGAAAGACACGCACAAGAAGTGCCAGAAGAAGTTCCGAAGCCAGTGCCCAGATGCCAACTCCGCAACCAAGATCCCTACTCATTTCCCAGGCAGTATATAGTGTCCATGGAAGGTAACCATTATTCGACCCTGACTGAGGTAGCAGAATCCCTATACGTATCCAACTCCAGAGGATGACAAATTGGAGATCAGCCGCGGTTCACAGAAATGCCCTATATCTATTAGTAGAGACACAGCAATGGCTCCCGGGTTAGACCGCAAACCAAGGTACAGCACCATGCTGCAGCAAGCAGAGGTCATCGACAGCCGCGAACTTGGACAGCAGGCGATGACAGAATTGCAGCGGCTCAGCCTTTTCTAGCGGATGGGGTTTAGGGTTTAGGGTTTAGGGTTTAGGGTTTGGGGTTGGGGGCTTTGGGGTGCGAGAGGTTGCGAGCTTCGGCTTAGGAACTCTAAACCGCAAACGCTCGAAACTGCAAACTTTTAGGTTGGGATGTTCCCCCTTACCCCTTATGCTAACAGTCCTGAATAGGGATTACAATAGAGGGTACTGTAACCCCTACTAAGGACTGTCAGTATAAGGGAGAACATCCCAACTTTTGGACCCGGAGTCCTCGGAAATGCAAGGGGCTCAGGGCTTAGGGTTTAGGGTTTAGGGTTTAGGGTTCAGGGTTTAGGGTTTAGGGTGCAAATTCAGGGAATCGAAGCCTTGGGTGGGGCATTCTAAACGCCGCGAAGCGGCGGCAGCTGCGGATACCCTGAAACCTCGAAAAACACCGGGTTTAGGGTTTAGGGTTTAGGGTTAAAGAGCCTCCAAGCAATGGCTCACCTCTCCAGATGCCGACACGGCCCCCGAGGCCCCAAGCTGTGGTCGGTGCTTTCGGGTTTAGGGTTTACATTTAGGGCTTAGGGTTTCTGAGCTTCCAGAAATTCCTTGGGTCCTACAAGAAGTACTTTCAGGCTTCACCGATGTAGGGCTTCAGGCTCTGGGGTCTTTCGCGTCTTTAGCGTTTGGGGGATGCTTTGGCGACCGACCGGCTCCCCAACACCCTGAAAGCACTGAAACTGCAGCCAATCCCTGGCAGCCCGAGGAAAGCTGAGGCAGCTTACTACAGCCAGTCAGGTGCCCGTTTGGGATGGGTTCAGTTTTTAGACCCTCACGCCAGACCTTTCAAAACCCGATCACCTTGCCAAAGCCCTGAACTAAACGGGATTGATGGCTTGCTTGCTTAGGGGCACCCGGGCTTGTGCTTTGAAGGCAGCATGTCTGCATCATGCAACATCTGCTTCCGTACCAGTCGCCAGCAGATCGCCAGCAATCATTGGCAACATCTAAGCTTAAGTAGGTAAATCCTCTCTTGTCCCAGAAGGGGGGTTCAGCTCAGGTTCGGTGAGAGGCTACGGAAGGGTTTCTGATTGAGGATCTGGGCAGATGGGCACTTTTCCTTCCACAGGCCTCTTCGGATGCAGCGACGATGACTGCAAGAGGGCGTACGACAAGGTACGCCGTGGAGCTCCGTGGAGATTAGAGGGTTCCGGTTGCAGGAAATCCTCGTAGCTTGCCATTGAACAGGTCTAAACCCGAAACCCCAGACCCTCAATCCCAAACCCTACAAAACTTTTGAGAACCCGAGGATTCGGGAGTCCAAGACGAGGTTTAAGGTTGGAGTCTCGGCGCAGCGCAGCGCTGGAGATAATTTCGGGGATCGCTGTGCAAAACGGCCAGGGATTCCTTTTCCCTAGACTGGCTGGTTCTGAGCAGGGACTGAGGGACCGAGGTACCCTATATACTCCCTTAAAGGGTATAAATAGGGCCCTAATTCCCTCATTCCATCCTAAGAACCACGGGTAGATGCTGAAATACAAAGGCCCTTCATGGTCGATTCCCGCTCAGGGTGTTCACCTTGAGCATAAAGGAGGTTTTGGGATGTGGAGCTTCGGGATTGCAGACGCTTTAGGGGTTTTCGTCTTTTTCTTTGTTCTTGGGGAGCGGGGGGGGGGGGGGGGGGGGGGTGGGGGAGAGGGCTTGTAGAGAGGGGTGCTCTAGGGCTTCTCGGGGCTGAAGGACGCAGCCATCTGCTTCGGCTCTCATGCACAGTGTCCTTCTGCAACATGTGGGGCGGAGACAGCTGAACGACTTTGGCACACCCTGGACGGCAACCCCTATGCAACGTTGCTACGCAAAAAATCTCTTCAGGCGGGTCCATGCATGCTTGGGGGTTTTGTTCTAGGGTGAAGTCATGCAGCACCTAGGTTTGGGCTGTGGGCTGCCCTCAACTCCCAAACAACGCCCCGATCTACTAGAACGCTACCAACTTTCTCGCGCAAGTGCCGCTGATGGTGACCCTGGCAACGGCCGTCTTCCCGGATTCCGACCCTGAGGACTGCAGCTCCGTGGTACTTAGGGTTTAGGGTTTAGGGTTCAGGGTCAGGGTTTAGGGTTTAGGGTTGGGACCATGGGCTTGGTGTGTAAGGGCTTCTGAACCGAAGCCGTCAACCTCAGTGTGCTTGACCTTAACCCAGATCCCCAATCCTGCAAGAAACCCAAGGAGTGGTTGCCTGAGATTTGAGTTGTTTTGCTTAGCGTCGCGGAGGAATTAACACAAGCACCAACTCAAGGCGTGGTGTTTATGGCCGAAGAAACATTGGCCTTTGCATTGGGGGGCAAAGGGGCCGTGTTGCCCGCACGCCGCCTGAGGACCTCGACTATGAGGCGAAGGAGCCAGCGGTCGCCTTTGGGGTGTCTAATGAACGAGGGGGTTTAGGGTTTAGGGCTGAGGATTGCAGGTGTTTCGGATTTGCGCGACTGTTGGCTTTGACGGTTCCAGGATGAGTTATATGGGGTTTGGGGTTGAGCGGTTGCTGGCTGATCTCATACACCTATTTGGCTCTTGAGGGAATTCAGATTTGCAAACCAAGTCTCAGGATTCCGGGTGTTCAGGGTCAGGAAAAGAAGCCATGTCAATCCAAAGAAGGCAATCCAATGAGATGACAAGTATTCACGAAGCCCCACCATCTGACCTCACAAACTCTACAAAGCAAAGGGTCGACACAGACACATCAGCCAGGAAACGCTCGTCGCCACAGCACATCTGCCCCCACAACTCCATCACCCTAAACCCTAAACCCTAAAACGGGTGCCTTGAATGCAAACTATGAAGCTCAAACTCCAAAGCCATCGGTCCAAGATGAGTCCTACTCGTACCATGCGCAACGGACTGGGTATGTTATTTAGTAGCATGCTTAAAAATCCTAAGACCTTCAGGCAAGTGAGATCGCTGCCGGCACCATGTGTATGCGCAGAAAAATCACGCAATCTTTCAATATTGCCTCCGCTACCAAGATTCCAGAACTTGTGCTCTTTGGTGTCTTGGTTCTTGGTTCTGGCCGCGATATCGTAATTCGGAGAGCTGTGTACTTAGTTTTGCCCTTGCCTCTTCTTACCTGATCTTTCGTTTGGCAAGGTGGCAACTTGAACACCAGGTAGTCAACTGAAATTGTCTTTTTCAGTGCAGAGATAGCACGTAAAACGAGGACAGCGCAAAAGATAAACAATCCACTATTACGTCGGAGATGTTGTTTTTCAAAAACTAGCCAAAAACCGTAAACTTTGATGAGCACACCTATCACAACATAAGCAGCTTGACACAGCCCACCCTTCCCTGACCCAGAGGAGGAGCCGGCGCCGAAGCGGCGGCGAGTCGATCATGGGGACGCACAGCGCGGCTGCACACGCAGTCAGCGTGCCGATCAGACTTGGGCCGAGATGCAGCAGCAGGAGCGTGTGCTTCCCCTACTATTTGCTTAAGAAGCCTCAAAAAACAAAGAGCATTCTTCCTTATAAAGGCAATTTAGGGATTGTTTTCTTCGGGGGATTTCGGGGGGTTCTTAAGCAAATAGTACTTCCAGTGCGCATAGACTCAGGGTGTAGGTTTACAGGGAGAGGTCGAGCTTATGCTGGGAAGGTCAACACTAAAGTCACTCAAATCCGTTATGACCTCGAATCCCCAACTTACACCCTAAACTCACATCAACCCAAAACCTTAGCATTCTACTATTCATATATCCCTGGACCATGGCAGCCAATAACCTTAAGCACCGTCGTTTTCATTCTTCAAGGAGGCCCAGGAGTCGAAAAAGTGGCCGCGGCGCCCTCATGTGACCCTCCCACAGCCAACGCGCCCGAAGGCAGGAAGCGTAGGCAGCGTAGGTAGTAGGTTTGTGTAGGGGTGCAGGGCTTCAGGATCCAGGGCTTTAAGTTCGGCTTTTTCGGCTTCGGGTATTGCGGGGTTTTTGGACATGAATGTAGCAACCATCATGATGTAGATGTTGTAGTAGTTGTAGTGGTAGTGGTAGTAGTCGTAGTAGTCGTAGTAGTCGTAGTAGTCGTAGTAGTCGTAGTAGTCGTAGTAGTCGTAGTAGTCGTAGTAGTCGTAGTAGTCGTAGTAGTCGTAGTAGTCGTAGTAGTCGTAGTAGTAGTAGTAGTAGTAGTAGTAGTAGTAGGAGGAGCAGCAGCAGCAGTAGTAGTGGTGGTCGTCGTCGTAGTAGGAAGGAGCAGCAGCAGCAGTAGTACTAGCAGTAGCAGTACTGGTGGTTGGGGTAGTGGTCGCAGTAGGCGTAAGCGCGGGTCTGGGTTTAAGGTTCTTTGGGGTGCAGTGTTTTGAGGCTTCGAGGGGGTTGAAGGATTTGGGCCTTGGGGCTCAGGGCTTCTCAGGGTTAATTTGAGTTTGTGGCTTGGGGTTCGGGGCACGGTTCAATGAAGCAGGCATTTCCGCTAGAGAGAAGTCCACAGAAGGGGTCGACAAGAAGACTGGTTGCAGAAATGGCAGCGGTAGTGCTCGTCGTAGTAGCCGCGCAATGTGCAATTCAAGTGGGCGAGGGGGGAGGGGGAGGGGAGTAGCGGCACTGGTGCGGGGTTCCCTTGCTTTCGAGGCCAAAAGCGTTCCTGCGCAAAACTGCTTGGCCGTCGTCGCGCAGATAGCGAAGTATGGCCAGGCAAGCCGAAAGCAGTCAAAGTTTTAGCTGTCCTTTTACAACAACATATCGAGCATCTTCTTTGCAAGCCAGTCTCTACAGCTTTCTGGGTTGAGGGTCCGACATGTAGCACGCACCAGATTTCACATGCCGCCTGGCCAGGTGAAAGATGCGGACGAGCATCTATCGGTTCGTGACCTAAAGAAGAGGTCGCGTGCAGAGGCTGGAACGACAACCTCAAGCGTGGTACGGCCGGCGCCTAGCGTCAGCAAGTCCGACGTCCTGGCTGAGGTAGTCTTTGGCCTGCAAAGAAGGTTGTTGGGGACCCGAGCCCTCACCGAAAGACACACATTCACATCAGACAGAATTTAGAAGCTTCGGCTCATGCCGGAGGGCCTAGTTTTCGCATACTTTTGTGGGCTACTTATTTGTGTTGTGACAGTAGACTCATCTTACGGCCTGAAATGGACTGAACCCTAAACCCTGAACACTAAACACTGCTGGTCCTGTGGTGGATGCCGGTCGCTTGGCGTAATCTCGAGAGATGGGTTTCCCGAGGATACGCGAAAACTGAAGCTATTGGACTGCACCTTCCCTCGCCCGCCGCCCCATTATGGTAAGGAGGTTGCTTAAGTTTGTCTTTGCTGCTTAGTTGTTTCTGACTCTTGTGAAACAGCAGCTGTAAGAAGGTTTTTTTGAACCCTGAGTGACGCCGCCCAGGTCAAACTCAACAACCTTTCGGCAGGAGCTGTGCCCTCCACGGCCGAGGTGAAGCGCAAAGCGCCTCAGCTCCAGTGTGGTTGCGGTGAAGTATATATGTTAAAGTGCTTATAGGGTTTGGTCTGTTTGTTCTCGGATTTATGGTTCAGACCCCGAACCTTGATTTCAAGGTACCCAAACACCCAAGCCCTCCCCAAGCCCGCAGACACTGTATACACCACACACTAGAGTCTCACTGTCCTTCCGCCCACAAACAACAGACACAGACACAGACACAGAGACACACACTAAAATCTAACACTCTAAGCCTCCCTCCAAACCCTACTGAAGCTCGAACTCCAGGTCCGTTGGACGAAAGAGGAGCTTTCCGCTCAGAGCCAGAGCTCGGGACTCCCCAAGATGAGGCGCGCGCTCTGGCTTTGAAGGCTTTGAAGGCTCATGGGGATACGTCGAATACTGCAATTTGCTGAAGAGCCCCACCCAATAATGTAAGATGTTCTTCCTTATAGGGGCAATCTAGGGATGTTTATGACACGCAAGTGTAGTCTCCGAGGCGATGGCGCTGGAGCGCACATGGGCTTTGTCATACTATGTCATACTATAGTTTGTTGTTATCTAGTACATTACAACAAACTATGTTCGAGTATATGATATGACCATGCTAGAAGGTTTCCCGTCAAGTCTGCACAGCTCCGGCCGGGTTCTTTGACCGACCTTCCGGGGTGTGTCTTTTTGTTAGTTGTTGTTCCTTCTCTCTCTCTCTCTCTCTCTCTCTCTCTTTCCCCCTCTCTCTCAAGCAATCTCACACATCTTAGGGAGGGTGTCCCGGACCGACGACTGGGTGTGGTCAGAGCATGTGATGCTGTGGGCACCCGAAGCCCACGACTTGGGACTCCGAATGTTGAGGGATGGCCCCCAAAGCCTAAAACCCTGCAACCCTAAACCCGAAACCCGAATCCTTCAGGCTTGGGGGCTTTGCGGAAATGCAGCTCAAAGAGATGGATTGTGGGTTTTGTGCCGATTTTTGCGACATGGGGCTTGAAAGTTTCAGCATTGAAGCCTGAGAAGCTCCCTCTGGAGCCTACTCAAACCTTCGAAAGATGTCCCAACTTCCTCTCTGGGGCACAATGGCCTTGAGACCCCTGGAATCCCTGGAGGAAGCTCTGAAAGTCGCAAAGAATTCGACAATTCCAACCTGGATGCCCCAAAGCCCCGCCCCCCTACGAGGACCGTGCAGGTTCAGGAGTCGGTGAAGTTTGCCGGCGAGACGCTTACTGTGAATCGGGAGCTCGTCTTGGGCTCCGCAGCGGAGCGACAGTTCCTGCTGTCCCAGAAGAGGCTGCCAAGTCGGAGTGGGGGTGGGGGAGGGGGATCAGGTTTACGGTTTTGGGTTTTGGGTTTAGGGCTTAGGGTGGTTTCGGGTTTTGGGAATCTGCCGCTCCGGTTCCAAGGTGGCGACTTCGAATTTGTGTCCGTGTTGCAATGTAAACAAAACCACTGCAAAAAACCTTCAGCCGCAGCCTTGGACCCTGAAACCCCAAACCCTGAACCCTGAACCCTAAACCCTTAGACAAGAAGGCGTCAGTCGGCCAAGCTGGGCGGGAAGTTCGCTGCCTTGGACAATCTGCTCCGGTCGGGGAAGGACAAGGCCCGACTTGCAGAGGCGTTTAGGGTTTAGGGTTTAGGGTTTAGGGTTTAGGGTTTAGGGTTTTGATGGACTTAGGAGTGTGGCCAATGTTGCAGGCCCTGAAGTTCGCAGCCTCAAGCCCCTAAACCCTAGACCCTCACGCCTGCGTATCCCTGGAGGTTCTCAACACCATGGAGAAGTCTGAGCTGGACTGTTTAGGGTTCAGGGTTTGGGGTACATGGGAGGGCGCGTTTCAGGTTGACGGCGCAGGGCTTTTGAGCCCCAGACCAAGCTCAGTGCAGCTTGTAATATCAGCTTGTTTTGTGATTGCCAAGAGACTCCCCAAAAGATTTCCAAAGTTAGTGGATAGCCGACAGCCCTACACTTGAACCCTAAACCCTAAACCGCAGCTCCACACCAAACCCCTCCTGGAGTGATTTGAAGTCCGAAGGCGCAGAACTAGAATGTAGGGGGTCTATATCAATCGTCCTGAGGTCAACGTCCGCTTTTCATCTTCAGCGGGTCTTTAACCCCAGGTTTGCCCACCGAACTTGCGACTTGAGTGCTGTTCAGGCTCAGGCTGACGCTTACCTTTTGGGTTGTGGGTTTCTGGTTCTAGCCCTGAGTACCTTCGACACATCACCAAGACCAAGACACAAGCCATAAGCCTCAGGCCATAGAAGCCCCAACAACCCTTTCAGGCCTTGCTGAGATTGTGTGCATATGTTAGTAGTGAAGCCTACGGGCTGAAGCCCAAAACCCCAAAGCCATTGGACAAATCCAAACCTCCAACATCCTAAACTCCTCAGCTCTGAACTGTCCCTGGACCTTTTCAGCTTCTACAGCCGCACAAACATTCCCCACCGCCCCCTGCGTTGAGGATTGGCAGCAACACCAGAAAGAGGCCGGGCTCGAGGACCTGGGCCGCGACCCACAGGCCTTGTGGCTCGAAGCTTCAGGGTCCGAAGGTCTGAAGGTTTGAGGGTTGGGGTTTGGGGCTTGTCTGGGACAAACTCAGGTGGGTGGGCTCCTCCATGTACCCCTTCTCTGGGCAGCGCCTTCAGGCATCATTCATGTCTCCTCTTTTCTTGTTCGGTTCAAGCAAGCTCCACCATCAAGTGCCCTGGGGTTCAGCCTCATCATGCCTGCAGGTCAGAACCCTCCCTGAACTCGATCCCGGTACCCTAAACCCTAAACCCTAAACCCTAAACCCTAAACCCTAAACCCCAAAAATCCTCCCATGGAGGGAGCACATGTTAATTTCCGGCATCCTGGGAGCAGGTCAGGTCGGGTAAAGGCTTTGGTTCGTTCAGGGAGCTGAAGGCGGGCTTGCACCCCTTCCGAGCTATTTTGGGGGCATTGTTAACTGTACCCCTAAACCCTAAACTCTAAACCCTAAACCCTAAACCCTAAACCCTAAACCCTAAACCCTAAACCCAGGCCGGCTACATCGAGCGTGCTGAGCTCCTGCGCTGGTATTGTCAGCATGGGTTGGGGGGTGGGGGGGGGAGGAGACCTTCACCTCCCAGTTGAAAACCCCGATATTCCAGACGTCAAACAGCAAGGTTTTCTGAACCCACCTGGCTTCAAGGTTTTGTTTCGAGGCGGCAGGGATGTACTTTTTGAAGTTCAGGGTAAGCGGGCGCAGGCAAGATACAGTAGCAGGCTTCGGTTGAGTCGCCAACTTCAAAAAAGCTGGGCGTTTGCAAGTTCGCAGTGTGGGTTTTTTGCATATTTCATCTCTGATCCGATCCTCAGCAACCGCGCGAACTTCGAAGCACCCTGCATGACATTGCCCAGCCACAAGTGACGGCACTGTGCACAGTGTTGACCCACCTGGTATTCAGCTGGTTGCTGCCCGCGTGGTCTCGAGTCTTTTCTTCATTCAGCTGGCTACACGCATCAGAAACACAAGCCTAGAAGCTGACCCTTTCATCAAGTAACCCAAGCTCAAGTTTCCACAAGCGAGACAAACACAAAGCCCAGCTTCCCGAAGCCCCCGAGGTTCCTGCGGCGTGCGAAACTTCGCGCGTCGGAGGCCATCCGCGACGCGGCGCGTGCCGCAGCGCGGAAGCTGTCCACGAAGACCTGATGCGGCCATGAGGAGATCGAAAAAAGGGGCCTCAAATTCCTATCCACACCGAAAGCCCTAAGAAGCTCAGCGTACGGGTTTGCAGTATTGGCGTTCGAGCCTTGCGTATGCGACTGGGCACCCGGAACCCTGAATCCCAGACCTTGAACCCTCAAGCAGCCTGAAGTTTGCTTGTCGGGCAGGCGGGACGCACCGTGCAGGGTTTCGGGCCGGGATTACCAGCAATCCCCAAGACTACCCGTTAACCATGCTAGTAGGGTATATAAGTCCCCTTTATTAAAGGGGAGTTGCGGGGGTGCAGGTCATAGAAGTCCATTGAGGGCTTCTGTGTTCACAGTTTGGTGCGACACGCAGCCGATGCTTGGTAAGCCTATTCCTTGCATGCCATGAAGACCTTTGGTCTTGGGAGTCGGAAAGCTGCGAATGGTATGGTTCCCTAGATAAGTATACCATTATATCAACCCAAAAAATTGCAGTTGTTGAGGCCCTTATATTTAAGCTGTATGGTCTGACCCTGAACCAGATGTAATGAGGAATTGGGATTCCTTCTCTGGTGCCGTTGGCCAGGTCGAGATGGCCCGGGCAGAGGTGGCCCGAGCGCCCACGTCGAAAGCTAAAGACTCTTCTCCTATTCGGAGCTTCGCACATATTTCATGACATTCCCAAGCCGAAGACGCTGAGCCTCTTCCGAGCCACCTAAAGACCAGCGGTCTGCAAAGCCGGTTAAAACCCAAAGCTTAAGTCCCGTAGTCCTAAGCCTGACCGCAAAGGTGGCATCTAGGGAGCATTAGGATTTAGGGTCTGGGGTTTAGGGTGCAGGAAATAGAGTTTGGGATGTTCACCTGTATACTAAGAGTCCTTAATAGGGATTATAGTACCCCCTATTATCATCCCTACTCAGGACTGCTAATATGAAGGGGGAGCATCCCAAAATAGAGTAGACCTCCAAAAGGGACCCTCTTTGTCTTTGCGCAGTCTACATCCTTGACCTCCAATCTCGGCAACATTCGAGCCATTAGCCTTCAACCCAGGTGCAGAAGCACCGAGACCGCGTCCTGTCCGAGGGGCGGCAGGAAGTGGGGATTTGGTCCTCCTTCGGCGTGCAGGCGATGGCAGGGTCAAGAGGTGAGGCTTTAGATGCCTTTAAACAGGGGGTTACAGGGCTTGATTCGGTGAAGCATGCTAGAGTTTAGGGTTTAGGGACTACATGAACACGTCTTGCGGTTTCGAGTTCGGAACCGCCCTGATGGACTCAGCCCCCGAGTTTCACTTGCTGCCAACAAACGAGTACAGGATCTTCTTGAGAAGGTGCCAGACCGAGCCAAATGCCTCGACTTGACGACGCACGCAGTAGTGAGAGGCGAGACCGCGGAGTGTCTTTTCGCAAAGGATGTGTTGAGCGTTGACCAGACAGAGACACAACTCAAGGCCAACACTGAACCGCTCGAGCTTCCACACCATTGGATACGCGAGAGGGAACAGGGGCACAGGGAGACAAAACAGAGCTAAACAGCGCCCTTTTGCGCAGAGGCCAAGAAAACCTCTTCGGCGTACTGCCTCGACGTCATGAACAAATGCAGTCAGCTGCCCGAGGTGAACAGACGGAAGTTGCCAGTGCTTGCCGCAAAGGCTCGCTGGGTGTTTTCTCAGCCCACAGAAGCAAACAAGAGACGGCAAAGGCTTGCGTCAAGCGGATCAAGGCCAAGGCTGGACGGCTCGTAGACAGGATCAAGATGGAGTTGCGCGGCGGCATCCGCGGGACCCAGCAGGTTTATATGGTGGCTGTTGATATGAGGACCAGGCCATCCTAGCAGCAGAGCAGGTCCAGGGTCTCCAGCACTTGGCGCAACATCTCATCTTCAAGACGAGCAATGGTCGAAAGTTTGAAGCCAAGGGCTATGAAGAGGCCAGGCAAAGGAAGCACAAGCACAAGTTCGCGGCGCCCGACAACAAGCAGATTTGTAATCTCGTATTCAGGGGCACTAAGCTAGCGGCGTGTGTGCAAGTAGGTCAAGAGAAACCGCTGAGCACGCCATCTCCGTGAAGCGTCCCATTGCTTCGGGCTCTCGCGCAGCTGATGAGCAACCCGAGCATCCTGCAATACTGCAGTACGAAGCGGAGGCTTAAAGAAACTCTACGAATAATGTGTCACAAAATGGGCTGCATTGCGCACGTCTACCCCTACTAAACAATGCCTACCCATGAACCCTATGAAACTTCGAGTAGCCAGGGCTTCAAAATGGTGTTGGCATTCTTCAGGTTTAGCTCTAAACCATTGGGAACCCCTCTGGATCAGACATGGTAAGTTGTTGAACGCATGGTGTTTGTGTGTGTGTGTGTGCGCCTTCGCGCTTGGGGAAGCATCCGCACACAAATATTCACTTCCGGCAAACTTGACTGGCTGGAGAAGATGGTGCAAGAGTGGCTACACCCACACGAAAATGACTCCTAAGCAGCCTTGAGGTTTAGGCCGTTTTGTTCAAGGGGGGGGGGTTCGGTTCGGATGCAGCGCATAGGATTTCAGGGATTCGATGTGCCCAAGCTTGGTGCAGGACGTCCGCAGAAGTTTTTGGAATGCCTGGCAATCCGGCAGCTCGCCTGTCACGAGCCGCACTGCAATCACTTCTGCTGCCTTTTTCATGCCGGGAGTGTGGGGCTGAGCGGCTTCGGCGCCATGGATCAGAGAACCATGAACCCAGAACTCTTCCCTCGCCCGTCATGCCGCGGAGAATGGGTGGATATGGGTGGGCTCAGTAAGATCGTCCGCATTGTCATGCTCACAGCACGGTCATCCGAAGCATCCTTGTTCCCAGACCCATCGTGAGCTTCGTCAAAGACCCACGGTTCACTCAGTCGTCAAAGTTGTTTGGCTTCACAGTACTTACGACTTCAGGGTTCAGGGCTTAGGCTTTTAGTGGGTGTCGAAACATGCTTAGTGTTCGAGCGAGGATGCGTAATAGAGTATTTCGGGCGTAAGGGTGCCAGCAGCAACTGAGGCAAGGATTTCGCAGCCCAATGCACATTTTACAACGTGCCTTGGCTCACGCACTCACAGGTCCTTGCAGGTCCTTGGCTGAGGGTTTCAAGGCTGCCGGGGTTAGGATGCTAGACAGCGAGCCATCAGTTTAGAGTTGGCAGAGGGTTAGGGGTTCAAACCTAAAGCATCTAGATGAGTTCGGATGTAGGACTTCGGCAGGCTCAGGGTTTTGCATTTTGGTCTGCACTGATTGCATGGTGTCCCGTGGTGCAGTGACGCCTGTCAACCCTGCAATGAAGGGGTAAGTTTTGACTACTTGCACAGGCAAAGACTCCAGCTCCTTCGTATGATGGTCTTAATGACTTAGCACAATGAATGAACATGAAGCTCACTCGTCGGGTTGAATGCTTACACTTGCCAGGTCCTCTTCGCAGTGGGCGGGCGAGACGAGTCACTGTACATTATGATTTTCCGCCTCATCATGCAGTACGCTTGGGTCTCAGTGAAAGGCAATCCAAACCAGTTGGCCTGGACTGACACAGCCCGACGAACCCTAGTTCCCCAAAGGGTTCCATTCCTGCGGTACCCCCAAACATGCGGAATCCCGCCCACAGCCTACTCAGCCCACTACTACCCCTATGCGCAGTTATACCAGTTACCTGGCTAGAGCATCAGGTTTTCGTTTAACATTTGGGTTTTGCACTCAGGTGGTGAATTTGACCCTTGGCCTCATTGGGGCTTTCTGCGTCCTGGCTGCAACGTTTGGTTCAATTACAAGGTGAAGCTGGCTCGTATTCAGGGTTTAGGGTTTAGGGCTGAGGTGGTGTAGGCAGAACCTGAGTGGTGACAGGTTTACATTGATCAGACCGTATTCAGGGTGTAGGGTTTAGGGGTTAGGAGCTGAGGTGGTGTAGCCAGAACCTGAGTGGTGACAGGTTTACATTGATCAGACCATCCAACTACGCAGCATTGGCTGTTTCGGCGGCTGCTCCCAGCCCCAATCTGAAGCGCATGGCTTCCTCAGGCTACTTCCTCTACAACATGTACCTGTTGATAGTGCCCGGAGCTTAGACGTCCGGTGGAGAGACAGACGTCTTCGCGGGAAGCTGTAGAAGCAAGTTTTCGCACTGTGCGTCGAGTGCTGTCAAGGGATTCAAGATTCTGCAGGGTTTTCCGCCCGCGGATGCCTCAGACATTCGCAGATGTTAGCCATGCGCCCTTCAGCCCTTACTTCTAAACCGTCAGGTTTAGGGTTTAGGGTTTAGGGCTTAGGGCTTAGGGCTTAGGGTTTAGGGGTTCTGCACTTCAAAAACTGCGTCAGGGTGACATCCTGGTCCAACAATTTCAGCCGCCCTTTTCTAGCCAACCCAGACATCCAAACTCCTAATTGAAGCAACAATCCCGAGCCCTAAGAACACACAAAGATCTGGACTGGTATAAACCCTACACCCCACACCCTAAACCCTGAGGTCATATGGCAGCTCAGTCCTCTCCGGTGCGGCTTTCTTCTTGCTGGCAACGGCGGCAGCCTCAGTGCAAAAAAGGTGTGGCTTTGGCTGAGTAGTCGAGTATGTAGCTCAAGCAACCTTTAACCTTGTTGAGGACTTTCATGTTTTTTGATTTAGTAGGGCCTGAGGATGATATTAGGAGCTGGGCGGGCTTTGAAAGAGTCATCCCACCGCCTCGCATGGGTGTTGTACTTGTTTGTTTTTAATCGGACGCCCCTTTACAGCATCAGCAGCACAGTAGACCGGTCTTCGCATGGGTGGTTTACTCCGGCGCCAGCTTGCATAAACAAGTTGAAGCTCGTCTGAGAGGTTCAGGGTGCAGGGCCTCCGGTTCCGAGTTGTCGGGTGCATGCCAGACTTCGTCGGATTGCAGTGGCTGCAGATGGGACCAGCATGTGCTGGCACATGACCTGCCCAGCTCAACACCCCAAAGCCTACACCTTAAAACTACTTTCAGGTGGCAGGCCTTTCCCTGCTGACCACATACCTTGGCGGCATGCCCCTGGGCAGGGCAGCAACGTTTTCTCTGTGGTGACCTAGACCTCCATCAGACTGCCTAGACTTGAGCCCAAACCGTCCGAAAGCCATCGTCAAAGGCGAGGGAAAAAAGGAGCCCCACAAGAGGTCCCCACCCAAAGAGGAAAACCGAGGCCACCGGAGCACCAACGATGGGCCTTCGGGGGTTCTTTCTAAAGCTGGTTCTCAGTAGGGAGTGAGGAAATGAGGTAACATCCCACTGTATATACCCTTGAAGGAATCATTTAGGGTACCGCATTTACCCATTCCCTTCTAAGAAAGGTGTCTTAGATGTTTAGGAACGGGGCGTTGTAACTGACGAAAAAAGCCCCGAAAAAGCCCTGAGCAAGGCAGAGCAACAAAGCAAAGCAAGCCAGAACACCCTGAACCCTAAACCCTAAAAGGTAGCCGAGCGAATGCCAGCGCCAGTTAATATGTGAAGTGTCAGATTTTGTTTGGTCCAGCTTGTCAGGAAAGGCTGCAAAATTTCTAGCAGTTTGCAACAGTATGAGGAGGAAAGGTGGCAATGCAGAGAAGCGGCCCACGTGCAGACCGCCCGCACAGACATCTGCACAGTGCACTTTCCTCACATAGACCACAGGTCTCAGAGCCTTTCCTGCGCATAAATGCCTGGTTAGGAATGATGAGTTTCGAGTTTAGGGCCCACTTCTTTCTATTCGCCAGTGCAGCTTAGGTATGCCGTGGTGGCTGGAGGCCACATCTCACAATGCTGGGCATCCAGAAAAGGGGCCCAACCAAGTCCCAGCGACGACCTTCAATCCCGAAAAGACCCTCAAGTTAACAAAAAACTAGACCCCAAACAGTGAGGAGGGCCAGAAAAGGCCAAAGAAGGCCAGAAGAGCACCGACACTCCCGGGGACAAAAAGTACAAGAGTTCGTGGGGGGCCGAATTCCCTTGGGGGTCAAAAAGACGCCAACCACTGGGGGATTCGGCTTTGCACGCGTGTGGAACTTGGAGGCCAAAAGACCCAGCTGATGCTCATGAGCTCAACCCCAAAATCGCTACCCCACAATACTAACCCCAGGCACCCAGCCCTGCACCCCCTAAACCCTGTGTTTTTATTGATATGGTGGTCTCACCGCGCGCGCCGTTGAGGTCGGCAACCTAAGTAGGCCCTCCCAGAAGAGGCCTGAAGAGGCCACGAGAGGCTGGAATTCGCGCGAAACCACG